CGCCGGTTTAAAAGCAGTCCATTCCAGCGACTGGAGAAAGCAGGCTAAAAAGCCTCCAGGATGGACTAACTGAGACATTATTACCTTTCACTGCAGAGCAAAAACTCAATTGTGTCTGCTCTTCTAACTGCTGGAGTTGAAACAAAAAGTAGTTACGGGCGATTACGCAAGCCACTTTTCTGTCAAGCTAATTGCTTTACGACCTCTGACCCAAGCTGCAATCATACATCTATTGCTGCCTATAAATTAATTTATCACCACATCCTCAAGCTTTATATCCTCAAGCATACGCCATTGGCCTCAATCAACGTAAATAAACTAAACGGAAATGAATGAGGAATGTATGAAGTTTATGAACTAAAATAAAAAAGTATCGATGTCACTTTCATCTTTATGATATTGATTATTTACATATCATCTAATATTAGAATAACAATAAAATATCTTACGAAAACAAAGAAAAGTGGGCTTGTTTTCCTCACGATTTAACATGGTAAGTCTTAAAAACGAATCAATAATTTCTTTCACAGTCTAGAAAAGTGTAGATATATCTGAAGATAATAAAAATAAACCCATGAATGTAGGAAAGGTTCATTATTTTAAATGAACCAATGTAATCGATTAAAATAATTATTTTCTCTTTCTCATAATACGTTGCATTCACTTATTTTCTATATTATATTGCCATTGGTTTACTAATCAATTTACTACGCGAATTATTCTCACAAGCCTATTTCATATAGTGTATTTAATACATATGGTAAGTGAAAGGAAAAAATTAAAGCTTAATTTAGATTTAAAAGTAAAATTATCCCGTAACCAGATGCTTTCTGTTTCGGTAACCGTTTGATATGGAGAGTCAACTTTATAGTGGAATTGGCTTCAACAAAAGGATGACATGAAATAGGGACGAGATATCGAAGGCCCATAATCGATATTAATATAAATATCGATAGTAGATATTTTCATCGATATTATAAACATTTTTGAAATATGAACATCAATATAAATTGTTTTTTTAGCACTAGACGTATCAAAAAAGATGTTATTTTCCTCTTTAAATTATTTAATGGAAATATCAATTCTTTTACCCTCCTTAGTGAAATTAGTTTTCTAGTTCCAGTCCATCTTTATCATCCACAGTTTTTTATCGGAAATTTCTATTGAACCAATCATGCTTTTCATTCACCCATATTCAGGACCCAGCGAAGTGCTAATTTATTTGTACATCCTACATAGATTCATTTGAAAATTCGTGACTTTTGTATGTGAAGTTTCCACTTAACAAATTTTGGCAAATTGAGGCCTGCATGAGAGATCATCTTCCTTAAACAACTTAAGTATATAATCAACCTAAGGAAGAGGAGCAAGTTGGTACTGTTTTTTTCCCATGCCATTTACTGATTGTACACGTACGAAAGTTGACAGCTGCATATGGATATTTAAAAAATAAAATAAATTTACTTTAATATTTGAAAAGTTGAATACTTAGAAATATAAATTAATTTTGAGTAACAAATATCCAGATACTGATGCTAGACTGTAAGAAGTTTAACATTCTTTATACCATCTGACCAAATAAAAAATGGACAACAGTACAATAATCTTGTTTAACTATTTCATCAGATCGTACATGGGCCAAAATAAAAACAATAAATAAAAAAGGCTGTTTACGTTATAAGATCCATATTTAATATTTTTAACAGAGATCTACAGGAGTTCGCTCTTCGATTGCTATAAATAACTGTTTGGTTTTTACTCTGTTCAAAATAAAAATTGCTTCTTCTCGCGATTTTATCAAATTCAGTTGATTTGTCAAAATCTGTTTGTTTCTTCAAGCGACCATTCATAAACATGAGCTTAAGTCAATGACAAGCAAACTTGCTCGGGGCCATTACCCTAAACACAGAACTAAACAGCCTCACCCTAAGAAGACAGCTGACATATGGTACCCAAAGACAGCTACTAAATCAGTCTTTGAGCCACCACCAAATGGTACTCACTAGGAAACGATCAATTACAATGCTTTCTTTACACAACCCGCCTCTTATCCAAGTCCATAGATGTCTAGCTGCTATACTTCATATACCATGTCTACCTCAAACATTTTTCAATAATTATAATCCCGTGTCAAAATATAAGAAACCCTCCTAATGACAGTAAAAGAACAGATTGCGGGAAGATGATGGGTTAGAGGGCGAAGGGACGATCGATAAAAATAAAGAAGAGAACTAGAATAACATTTCCTACAATATTAGGAAAAAAAATTAATAAATCAAAATTAGTAATTATTAATCTACATGAAGGAATAAAAATGTAAATTAAAATCAATTACGAAAAGTCGACTAAATGGCTAAGCCATGACCTAGAAGTAAGTACGAAAGTATTTGACAACGCCCGATGTTCCAAATATTGAAATATTAATTTGTATTCAAAGATAATATGTTAATAATAATAAATAACTTGTACCTAATTATTTAGTATATATTCTACTATAATTTGTTGTCCGTGGTACTGACCCATGTTTATCAAATTATTAAATAAACTTTGTCTATTTAATTAGGTATTGAAAACTCGTCAATACCCATTTTTTTCCCACTTCAATCGTAAGTTGATTTGAGCCCAAAATCAAGAAGGGTGGACTTCAAAAATATTGAACCGTTCGGCGTGACCTACATCCAAAATGTCAAAATAATAAGGTTTTATAGGACAAACGGCCCAATATTTTTTTAGGCTACCTTTTTTTCTCAATTTCTTGATCATATTATCTTACGATCCAAGTGAAAAGCAAATGGGTATTTACGAGATTTTAGTACCTAATTAAATAGACAAAGTTTGCCAATCTGCAGATTGTAAAAACCCCAATTCCAAGAGCACTCGTAAATAAAATAGTTGTAGGTCACGATGAGATGAAGCTATTTACGAAGTTTCATGCGGATGTTAATAATTTGATAAAAAGGGGTCTGTGCCACGGACTATTAATATTTTATTGTTCGTTTTACAATAATTATTTTGATTATCACTTATAATTTTTATACATAATATCCTGCTTTTTTTTTTTTTACGGAAGCTCCATCACCCCCTCCCCCTCAACTAGTATGGATAGTCTGCCCTTACGGTTGACAGAACCGTTTATTTTTAGTAAAATTGAACTATTCGAAAAATAAACAGAATACTGAAGGGTCGGAATCTCGATTTATAGTTTTAATATATTTTATTTAATTAAACAAAAAAGGAATCGGTTAATTAAGTACGTCCTCTACTCAACCTTATAACAATTTAAATAAAAAATAAAGTTGGATCCAAACATAAAATGGGTTAATACATACACTAATAAAGCTGCTCATACCTGAAAAAATAATGTAATGCCTGCTCATTAGGCGGACGTTTTTTTTTTTCATTTATGTTTTTGTATAAAGACTGTAATCATCGCGTCAAAGCCGCTTTCATTTCAAGGATTTTTATCATGCTCGAAATTAGACCTTAAAAACCCAATTCAGAATAAATATTGTTATTAAGAACTTAGTGTTTCTTAAAATTCTGGTTCATGTCTCAATTAATAATAATATTATTAATATTTAATACAGCATTAATAATACATTTTATAAATAAATAATATTAATGTTAATACAGTTTTTCTACTAAATTGAAATCTAATAAAAGAATTTATTTTATCTTATTTCATTAAACTATTACATTTTTAAAAGAAATTCGAAGGAAGCTAGTACGAAAAATATTAATGAAAATAAAATAAAGTTCGTTGGTTTTGGAGCTTAAGCTGCCTTCAAAAAATACTTTACAGTATCTCAAGAAGAGGATTTTAATGCTCTTAATATTTCAAGTCTAATCATTCCACTATTACCTCAAAAATTAAAAAAGGTATCTAACGAATATATTTCAACTGGTACGTCTATCTAGAGATGAATTACAATTTAGGACCTAAGGCCTAACACTTGAGCAGTTAATTTTAATTTTCAATAAATATTGAAGTTCTGTTAATGGTCAGATTCTTCACTCACGACATGAGCGTATGTGGCTAAAGCGCTCTTGCCCAATCTTCACTGGATTTAGCTCCAATGACGCGGTTGAGAGAGTAGCGCAGGGATCTGTTGGAGTCATGCTTTTCCCTCCACAGTTGGAGGGACAAGTCTCGGAGTTCTCTCGCCTGATTGTAAATAGTGTATATAGGTACGTATGTGTTCTCTTTTATTTATTTATTTTTAGATTATTTTATTCTTATTTATTGTATATATGTATTATTTTTCTGCATAATTTATTTTTATGTATTGTACCTAGAGTGTGAATGTGATCTCTGAACACTTATTATAAATGTCCTTTGAGACAGATTGTAATATTTCTCAATAAACAAGTTCTAAAAAAAAAAAGAAAAGATCTTCAATAATCATCTTGATTTTATCTTGTATCAATAAACTATACTTTTATTACAATTAATTTAAAAAATAAATCTGTTCAATAAAATTGTTGTCGATTTTATTATTTTTGTTAGCTATCGGAAGAAAATGTAGTTATGCGTAACTTCTTTTTTAAAAACTAAATATGGACAATAATATCTAAATATTTCTTTTAAATATACAAAAATATATATACATAATAAAGATGATTTAATAATTTTTAAATGCACAAGACGTAAAATAAACTGTTTAAGAAGGATGTATCAGTCATAAGAAAATAAATCTGTAAATATAGATCCAGTGCTATTTATTAGTTTAACAAGGATTTTTTTAACTACAGAAGTGGTTCTGAGAAATGAGATAACTATCATTGCACTTCGGACCATTCATTTCATTCATTGCTACAACGAGAATGAATGTTGCAACCTTGACTCACTTGATGGCAAGTGATTTATTAGAATGCAATTCACGTAACAAGGATTTAAGATTGAAAGGAATCGTAGATCGTTAAGCACTAAGCGATTTATTTAATTTTATGAAGAGAATAAAATATTCATATGTATTCATTACCAACGGCGCTTGACATAGGGTCTTGAAGAAGTGTAGACGAACCGTGACGCCAGAGTTGAACCGAACAGGATCTAAGACCCACAGATGTCTGGTAATTAGAAAAAACTGTTACGACACGGCTGTGAGAGCATCTCACATCAAACTATTGCTTTCTCAATCCCGCCGCAACAGCATTGATCATTTCAACGAACGAGGCCATGGAATTTATGGGGTAATTGTTAGAGGTGTACTAGATGGATTCATAATGATTTATGATTGAATTACTATTTTTGATTCATGATGACAGTTTATATTGAAAAAAAAAGATAATTTAAATGTATTATTACCATCCCTATATGGTTAAGTAACTGTCCTCTTTTAAATGTTTTCTTTGTACCTTCTAACATCCCAAGAGAACGTCATTAATGTTAACTTTCTGTTAAAGTTAATATTCTATCTATAATCAATCTAATACTCAACAGGATATAGTCCGTGGTACAGACCCCTTTTCATTGAGTTATTAACATCCCCCTGAAACTTCGTAAATAATTTTATCTCATCGTAACCTACAACTATTTTATTTACGAAAACTCTTGCAATTGGGGTGTTTTCAATCTGGAGGGGGGCAAACTTTGTCTATTTAATTAGGCACTGAAAACTCGTAAATACCCATTTCCATTCTATCAATAGCGATCTCTTCGATTAATAGCGATCAGTCCTGATGAAGGCCTGAACTTCGGGTCGAAAAGTCGGCAAATGTTTAAAAAAAATAAATATTATTATTTATTTTGCCATTTTTATTTTTTGACTCATCACCCCAAGTGTACTTCTTCATTTGATTTCTACTTCGATCGTAAGATGATTTGATCACAAAATCAATAAAAAACGTGGTCTACAAATATATTGTGCTGTTTCCTACAGAACTAATTAAGGCATGCGGGGAAGCCGGAGTTTCTAAAATACATCGGTTGGTTAACAAGATCTGGGTGAACGAGAAATTACCTGAAGAATGGAAAGAATCTATTCTTATTCCGATTCACAAAAAGGGTCCGAGGACGGATTGTAATAACTATCGAGGAATTTCACTCCTTCCGGTATGTTATAAAATATTCACTTTAATCTTAACCAGTCGAATCACGGAATACGCCGAGGAAATTATCGGAGACTACCAATGCGGATTTAGACGGAATCGTTCGACAATTGATCAAATATTTTCTTTACGGCAAATATTAGAGAAAAAATTGGAGTATAACGGTATTGTTCACCAGCTGTATATAGATTTTAAAAAGGCTTACGATTCTATTGACCGCCAGAAACTGTATAATATTCTAATCGAGCAGGGGATTCCAAAAAAACTAGTAAATCTAGTCAGGATGTGCTTGACGGAGACACTCAATAAAGTTAGAATCGGTAATAATTTGTCCGAAAAATTTGAGGTTCGTTCGGGCTTAAAACAGGGGGATTCTCTTTCGCCTGTCCTGTTCAATTTGGCATTAGAACATGCCATTAGGGAGGTAATGCGAACCGAGAAAGGGTTGGATCTGGGCGGGACAACATCCGTGCTGGGCTATGCTGATGATCTGGTACTGTTAAGCGAAGACGTTGAAACTATAAAACTAAATACGACAACGTTAATGAAAGCCGGTAAAGAACTAGGACTCGAAATAAACGTGGATAAAACAAAATATATGGTTAGCTGCAAAAATGGCGATACTACTGGTGATATCGATATAGATGGTAATATGTTTGAACAGGTAGATAAATTTAGGTATCTAGGTTCTACGATAACTAGAAAAAACGAAATTGAAGAAGAGATTAAGGTTAGACTGAAGGCGGGGAATGCTTGTTATTTTTCTGTGACAAAACTACTTAGTTCGCGCCTCTTGTCCCGAAACTTAAAAATTAGAATCTATAAAACAATTATCTTGCCTACAGTTCTTTATGGATGCGAAACTTGGCCGCTTACATTAAGGGTATGAGCAGCGTCTTAAGGTTTTTGAAAATAAAGTATTGCGTAGAATATTCGGACCGAAGAAGGATGAGTTAACCGGAGAGTTCAGACGGTTACACAACGCCGAATTGCGTGAGCTGTATCCGGGTAATATAATTGAGGTAATTTCATCGCGGCGAATCAAATGGGCTTGTAAAGTTGTTGGGCTTAGTAACGAGAGAATTCCTAAAAGGTTAATATGTGCAGTGCCGAATGGTAAGCGTCCGAGGGGTAGACCGAAGCGAAGGTGGGAAGATTGCATTAAAGCCGATCTGAAGGGACTGGGTTTGGACGGCGAACGGTGGAGGGAGGTGTGTAACAAGCGATTGGTGGTGTCGGCATCGAACCTTCGGGTTCGCTAAGCCTTTTATTATTATTATGATCATTAGAATTTCTCAGCCATTGCTGCATATATTCATCCACACGGACTCAGTGAGACAAGTGTTGTAAATAAATAATTTAAACATTTTCTGACTATACTGGCACTTCCTAGTAGCAAAAGTTTCTGTTTTTCTTCTAGGCTGTTCTTGATCTGGAAATCCTAATTCCTTGCAAGTTTTAATAACCTCCTCTGGGAACAATCCATTGCTAGAAATTATGTGTAACACTCACAGGCGGATCTACCAGGGGGGGAGAGAGGGTTTCGGGCTAAAACCCCCAAAATGGTAAAATATAACCATGTTTTACAGAAAAAATATAAAAAAACTATCTCTTATTAAAGTATTTTTGTTCGTTTAATTACATTTAATAGACTTCAATAACCACTTAAACACCATTTCATATAGATAGTTAATTTCTTTTTTTTTTTAAATTAATTATTGTTATATGTATATGAAAAAAAATCTTTCGGGCTGTTGCTTCCCCCCCCCCCCAAAAAAAAAAATTAAATCCTGGATCCGCTAGTGGTAACACTTTTCCTTGTTTTAGGCTGTGAGGATGTTTCAGTCGCTCATAGATTTATTTTTGTCCACTTTTGAATATTGTCATCGTTGGAAACTATTAACTCAAATATTTTTCCCTTCCTTTCATATAATAATTTTTTTTTAATTTTCATATCTTAATGACAAATATAATTACAATTTAAACTTATATGAATAGAATTGTATTACAGGAAGAATGCCCCCAGTTTAAAATGAGAGAAATAAAAAAGGACTAGGAAAAACACTGAGAGAAATTCTTCAATGTAGTTAAGAGCAAGTTTGTAAAGTGTTAAATTTTTTTAAGTTAACAAAATACTATGTCAGGATATCAATTATAATGAAACGCCGATGATTCATAAGGGTAGAGGCAAGAAAGAGAGAAAAAATAGAATAGAAAATATAGTGGTCTAAAAATATCATTTTACAGAAAACGTCCTATAATTAATGTCAACTCTTATAACATCAGGATATAGTGAGATACCAAAAATAAAAAAAACTATTACAAAAACTATGAAAATCAGAAAATAAACTTTAAATATGTTGAAAAATCTATTTAAAAAAACGTTGAAAAATGTATATGAAAAAAAATCTTTCGAGCTGAAGATTTTTTTTCATATACCCCCCCCAAACAAAAAAAATTAAATCCTGGATCCACTAGTGGTAACACTTTACCTTGTTTTATGCTGTGAGGATGTTTCAGTCTCTCATAGATCTATTTTTGTCCACTTTTGAATATTGTCATCGTTGGTAAATCTCATCTCAAATATTTTTCCCTTCCTTTCGATTTTTAGAACAGTATATCTGATTTATTGTTTAACACTGTTTGGTCCGCGATTATAGGCTGATCCTTCTAGAGAATTTTTTTTTATCGAACAGGGTAGAAGTGAAAAAAAGGTTTTGAGATAATGGCTGCAATGAATTCGAGTACGGTAAGAATTAATGTAAACTTTCAAGAGGAACATAAAGCATATGTTCAAATTTTAAAGGGCTGATAAGATTACTTAATAGGGTCAGTGTGTTAAACAAATGGAAGAACTGGAGAAAGTTTAAACCCCTCAGCGGGAGTCTTGCCTGGTCGAGCCAGCGCCTTCCATTTGTAGCCTGGCGGCTCTGTCAACCGGGCCCCGTTCATTAATTTCCAATTCCCATTAGCTCATCTTATATATAGATAAGTGGGTACCGGACCCGCTCTTTTTGTAGGCCGCTCAGGACATCTATAAATTCAAAAATCCATACCGACAGACGGTTGTTATTTCCAATTAGTTTTGCATGACACGGCCACTCACGAAATCTCGAAATATATATAGTATTTTAATTTATTTAAAATAAAAATAAGTTTTTTAAAATTGTTATATCTTAAGGACAAATATAATTACAATTTAAACTTACATAAATAGAATTGAATTACTGGAAGAATGCCCCCAGTTTAAACCGAGAAAAAAAAAGGACTTGGAAAAACACTGAGAGAAATTTATCAAGTTAGTGAATAGCAAGTTTCTAAGCTGTTAAATTTTTTTAAGTTAACAATAACAGGACATCAATTATATTGAAACGCCAATGATCCTTAAGAGTAGAGCCGAGAAAGACAGAAAAAAATTGAATAGAAAATATAGTGCTATAAAAATATCATTTTACAGAAAATGACCTATAATTAATGTCAACTCTTATCACATCAGTATATAGTTTTTATTACATCAGTATATACAAAAACCTTTGAAAGTCAGAAAATAAACTTTGAATACATTAAAACATCTATTTTTTTTTCATGAGAATAGTTCATTTTCTTTTCTTTCTCTTTTAGATGATAGATAAAATTTATTCCGTTTGTTCTGTTTAAAACATTTTATTATAAAATTTTATACCGATTGCACCTACAATTAAAACTTTTTACTTTCACTTACGTAAATATGTAATATATAGTAAGGGTAAGTATTGCGATCGAGAAAATTTTTTAATCTGAGTTTTCAACGGAAATACACGTTTTGTGGTTCCGTGAGTCCAAATAACCAAGTCTCAAAAAAAGGTCTGTGTGTCTGTGTGTACGTGAACACTCTAGCTCGAAAACGAAAAGTCCTACGAAACTGATATTACGTATTTAAGATATATATATACCTCAGATGTGACAGCAAGCTTTTCCTTAAAATCGGCTAACCGGAAGGGCAATTTTATATCAACGCTGAAACACATTTCCACAATTTTCTCAACGATTTTGATTAAACTCGGTGTATCATTGTATAATGAAGTGTCTTTAATATCATTAGTCTTATCCATTGATGTCACTTTACAGAGCTTAAATGCCAATGTTCATATACGTTTCCTCTAAAGTACTTTAATATGGTTTATATTAAATTAATCATTTCACATTATTCA